GGCCGACCATGGTGCTGCCGCCCCCGGACCGGCGCCACGTGTGCCTGACCACGCTGGTGATCATGGGCAGCATGGCGGTCATGGACGCGTACCTGGTGGAGCAGAACCAGGGCCCGCGCAAGATCGGCGTGTGCATCATCGTGCTGGTGGGCGACGTGTGCTTCCTGCTGGTGCTGCGCTACGTGGCCGTGTGGGTGGGCGCCGAGGTGCGCACGGCCAAGCGCGGCTACGCCATGATCCTGTGGTTCCTCTACATCTTCGTGCTGGAGATAAAGCTCTACTTCATCTTCCAGAACTACAAGGCGGCGCGGCGCGGCGCGGCTGACCCTGTGGCGCGCAAGGCGCTGACGCTGCTGCTGTCCGTGTGTGTGCCCGGCCTGTTCCTGCTGCTTGTGGCGCTGGACCGCATGGAGTACGTGCGCACCTTCCGCAAGCGCGAGGACCTGCGCGGCCGCCTGTTTTGGGTGGCGCTGGACCTGCTGGACTTGCTGGACATGCAGGCCAGCCTGTGGGAGCCGCCGCGCTCCGGGTTGCCGCTGTGGGCTGAGGGCCTCACCTTCTTCTACTGCTATATGCTGCTGCTGGTGCTGCCGTGCGTGGCGCTCAGCGAGGTCAGCATGCAGGGCGAGCACATCGCGCCGCAGAAGATGATGCTCTACCCGGTGCTCAGCCTCGCCACCGTCAACGTGGTGGCCGTGCTGGCGCGCGCTGCCAACATGGCGCTGTTCCGAGACAGCCGCGTCTCGGCCATCTTCGTCGGCAAAAACGTGGTGGCGCTCGCCACCAAAGCCTGCACCTTCCTGGAGTACCGCCGCCAGGTGCGCGACTTCCCGCCGCCTGCGCTAGCGCTGGAGCTGCAGCCGCCACCCCCGCAGCGCAACTCGGTGCCGCCGCCGCCGCCGCTGCACGGTCCACCCGGGCGCCCCCACGGGTCCTCGCCCACGCGTGACCCCCTGGACACGTGACAGGGCCCGCGCGGCCCCCGGGACGCCCCTCGGGCGCAGACACACCGGGCTGGCTCGGGGCGCGGTTTGCATGGGATGGGGTGGGGGCGGGCTCCCCTAGGGGCAGGTGCCTCGAGTGCCAGTGCCTGGGGTCCCGTGGCCGCTTCTTCATCTCAGGAATCCCTCGGACCGCGGATCCTCAGCCCCAGTTCCACCAGCCCGCCCCAGCGCGTGGGTCCGTTTGGGAGCCCTGGGCCGGAGCAGAGCAGAGGCGGTCCAGCCCCTGCCTGCTGGACCGCCCGGGTTGGAAGGGAGGGCAGTGTGGGCGGAGATCTGCTCCCTCGATGGGGGCCTCTGGCTCAGATTTTGGGGCCAAGGAGGCCTCTGTCATTTTAAAGACTCGTGTTTACAGTTTTGTATCCAAGGCCGCACTGCTTTGCCTGTTCCTGTGTCCCTGTCTTTACCAGCCAGGCTGGGAGGCCGGGAGCCAGGAGGGGTGTGTGGAGCGCAGGGGAGATGGTGGTGTCCAAGTGCCGGATGCTGGTGGGGCTGGGCCGCTCCACTTCCCCCGGGGATCTCAGGAGCTCCTGGGGGCCACTGCCGCTCTGTCCCAGGGACAGCTCCTCCATTCCAGCTTAGGTGTTCCCACTTCTCTTCCTGGGATACTTTGACCCCCATCTTCCCCCAGCCCCGTGGGTGTCCTGGACCCTGCTCCCCTCAACCTCAGGCATGACAGTGTCCCCCACATACCTGGTTCCCTCCTCCCACCCTGTGGAACCCACCTTCCCCGTGGGCTCCTCCAGCCTAGGATAGCCAGACAGAATCAGGTGTTCCCAAGTTGATGGGGCAGCCCCAGGTCACAGCCCCAGGAGCAGCATGGAGCCTTGCCCCAACTTACCATCCTGGCCTTGCCCCAGCACAGGAGCTGGCAGCCCTGGCCCAGGGAGCACCCGGCCTGTAGCCCATCTGCAAGTGGTCTCTCACCTGCCTTCCACCTGGGCCCCTGCACCTGCGATGTGGCCCTCGGTATCCATCTGGCCCGGGAAGGTCCATAGCATCTGGGGAGGGCCCCTTTATGAGGCCCCTAAAAGGACTGTTTGAAGATGCCCGCTCCATGAGCGGGTAATGGTCACACACATCTCACGTGTCACAGTTCACTGCTTGGACCTCCACTTCCCGCATTTCCACAGCCCAAAGGTGGCAAGGTTTCTCCATCTGGGGCTAAAACCATCGATGGGAGTGGAGCAGGCTGCACAAGTGGGGTCCTCCCCAAGCGGGGTCCTCCCCAAGCGCCCTTCCGGACAACTGCAGCAGTTAAGGGCATGGCTGGTGACCACCTCAGCTGCATCCCAACCCCACACAGTCCTCATCCACCAGCTCCAGGCCACCTGGGGTCTGACCTTGGAAAGTCGCCTGCCTTCTAGGCAACTGGCCTTGGGACCACTGTCGTCAGGGTCACGGTCACGGGGATTACCTCCCTGCCCAGGTCAGACTGGCTGGCGCTCCGCCCACCTCTAAACCCGAGCCTTGGCCCCGCCTCCGACGATGTCCCCAGCATCCCCTCCCAGCGCCATGCGTGGGCACGGGGAACTGGCCTGGGTAGGAGGTCTGAGTCATCCCGCTCTGGGCTGTGCCGGGACCACTAACGATCGTGTTGGGAAGTGGAAGCTCTGTGGAGTTAGGGGGGCCGGGGGGCCAGGGAGGGGTGGTGGTGAGCAGCCGTGGAAAGGCCCCTGGCATGGAGAGAGAAGAGGGGCCGCGGGACTTGTGGCGGGCCAGTGGAAGGACCTGGACCTTCTTGTGAGGGTTGGTCTGCAGTGGGGGGCAGTGGGTGAGGGGCGAGCTTCATCCTGGAGGTGGAGTCTGTTTCCACCCTGGGCTGAAGCCAGTGCCAGCCCCATCCTGCCTTAAGGGTCTCCTGGGTGAAGATGAGCCCACAACCCTGTTGGCTCTGGCACCCGCAGCAAATCCCATGGGAATAGACGGGCAGCGTGGCTATAGGTGAATGGGGCTGAGGGGCTCTGGGCTCCTGACATCCTGTTCTAACCCTTCCTGAAAGCCGTGGTCTCTTCCCTGCTGGCTGCAGTCAGGGAGGCGGTGGGCCCAGCTTGGCTTGTGAAAACCCACATCCCCTAGTCAGAGGTGGGATGGCTGCTGCTGTAGCTGCTCCCCTAGTTTAGCTACTCTCAGGGCAGTGAAGGCTCTGGGGCTCGAAGACACCCCAGGCAACCTTGCCCTGCACACACCTCACTCTTCCTGGCCTTTTCAGGAGTGGTCCCTGGTCTCCATGCTCCTTGGCACAGGCCAGTGCCCTCTACCTCTGCCACCACATCCCCGGCAGTGGAGGTCCAAGTCCTGGCTGTCATCCCCTCACCAATGGGGCCAGGGACCCTGGCTCTACCCGCTCCGACTTGGTTCAATGGCCCATCGCCCCTGCAACTGACTCTGAGGGCATTGGAGCAGACATCAAGCCCCACCCTGCCCAGTGGCACCCGGTTTCCACGACGAGGCTCAGCTGTGGCTCCGACTGCAGCAGGGCTGGGAAGCAGGGGGCCTTTGTCAGGCTCATGGCCTGAGGTTTTTGACCTCTGGGATCTCCCCTGGAAACAGGATGGGGACCTGGTCGCACTCCAGCCTGCCCTTCCCGAGTTTTCTGAGGTGTCCTGCGATGGCCAGATTCAATGGAGACCCCAGCTGGCTCCCTTGTCCCCTCACTGATTCCTGGTCAGTACATGAGTCCTGATGCGTGTCCACTACCCACTGGCCCCGTGCTGGGGCCTGGTGCCCAACCCACACAGAGACGCCTGGGGACAGCCACACTTTGGGGAGTTAGGGCCTGGGAGGAGCAGGGAGGCCTCCTCAGGTGGGCTTGGGAGCTGGCCCCGGGGAGGCCCGCAGGTGCAGCAGCCTGGAGGCAGACAGCTGGGTGTGTCAGCGCCTGAGAGGACCATGGTGGGCAGCTCACCAGCAAAGGGAGCCGAAAGGGCCCCAGGGAGAAGTAGGCAGCTCAGAGGGAAGAGGTGGGCTGGGATGCTGAGCAGAGTGTGGACGGAGGTGCAGCTGGGTGCACCCGTGTGGTTCGGCTGGGAAGGGAGGTGTGCATGTAGGGGAGAGAAATTGGGCAGTGGAGGTCCTGTCCCAAGAAAGAGGCTGTCTGCAGGTGATCTGCTCCCTCTCGTGGCCTAGTCCACCTCTACACCAGCAGTTACCTCCCTGCCCTGCAACCCCTGCCTCCCAGTACGGCCAGATGCTGTCCCTCGTCCTCCCTGCGGCCCTCTGAGGGCAGGAGAGTCGATCAAGGGGCAGAGAAGACAAACCCTATCTCTGGATACACAGTGGCCCATGTCACCGCCCCGGAGTGGGGTGTGCTATTCTCCTAGCATGAGCAGTTGTGGCAAGAGACACCCCACTTCCAGATGACAGGGCTCTGCCTTGTCTGAGATGCTCGCCATAAATCCCCGTGTGTGTCTCTCGCCCTGACACATTTGAGGCCCGGAGGCCTGGCCTGGCCATGCAGTATGCATGCCCCACCATAGCTCCACCGCCACCAGGAATTCAGGTGCTGCTGAAGCTGCACCAAGAAAGCCCCAGCCCTGTCGGCTCCTTTAGATGAATGAGAGTGAGCTCTTTTCTAATTGTGAAGTACATGACAGGTTGTAGCTGTGAAGACATTGTTGGGTCACTCTGTGGAAGTCTGAGGTGACCCCTTCCAGGGTCACCTGGCCATAGAGGACCCAGGCTCAGCCCATCTTTCTTCACCATCTGGGTGGGTTGGTGATGGAGCCACAACAGCAGCGAGCTTCACATTGTCTCAAAATATCATCCGTGTGAGGGAAGGAGGGACGGCTCCTCCTTGGGTGCCTCCCTCTCCTTAGGAGGAAAATGCTTCTCGGAAGTGTCCGCTCAGGTCCTGTGGTCCAGAGCTGGTTCCAGGACACTCTGTACACTTCCACTGGCAGGGGACACGGGTGTCATGACTGGCCACCTGCCCACAGGTGAGCCTGTGGTATCATGGATGCCCCAGAAGACACGAGACTCCGGGGTCTGAGACAAAGGGCTTTGTTTCTCAGCACGAGCTTCAGCTGTGGCTCCTCTTGCCCACAATCCTGTAGAGGCGATGGGAGTGCCTGGTGATCCAGCACACGCAGCTGGCAGGAGCCCACCCTGCCTCTGCCGTTACCCAGGAGGCCCCAGCGTGACATCAAAAATACTCTGCAACTTGGCCCAGGCTCACATTCTGCAAAAGCTGTGAGCTTGCAAATTGCCTTTGATCATATAAGAGCCATCATGGTGATCAAGTTCTTTCTACATAACGCCAGCACATATTTAACCCCTCACACGGAGCAACTGCAGCTTAACCTGCACGGCAGCAACCCAGCCTCCAGCTGTTTCACCCAGCACATGTCAACAATTCTCTTCCCAGGAGATTCCAGCAGCATGATCTGGGAGCTCCTGAGTCCTTGGGAAGTTCTGCAGCTCGGCTTACCCAGGGCCGCCCTGGCCAAAGCCCCAGCCACTCTCCTTTACGGCAGAGAGTGGGACTGTGTCCCCCTTCATTTCCCTAGAATGGTAGGGCTGGGAGCTGGGTCAGACCCGCCTCCACCTGCTTGTGGGAAGAGACGTCGGAGTCTAGTCACAGACGCAACAAGATCAGTCATCCAAAAAGATAAAATATGCTTGAACTTCTGACCCTTCATCTTCCTTTCAGAGCACACTCACATTTTCTATAGGAAAACAGCCTCATAATAATAAAAACCCAATTGAGCGAAATTGAACTCACTTATCTTAAGCAATAAAAAAGCAAACATTATTGGATTCATTTTATGCAGTAAAATAATGGAGATGCACTAAGTGGCAGCCCCAGAGGGAAAAGCCGTCAGAGTCACTGCCAGTGCAGAACGGTGGTGGAGGCTGCAAAGCCACATTCCCACCTTGGCTGAAACATGGGTGGCTTCATTTGTTGTAAAAACAAGGTAACTGCCATTTAACCAGAGAAAGATGAAGGGAAAAAACACCCCCCGGTCAGAGGGTGTCAGGGAGACCCGCTGTCTTTGGGGCTCGGCCTGCAGGCAGGCCCCGGCAGCATGACTAGGGCTGCACTGGGCGTGAGGACAAAGGGTGCAGAGAGTCAACAAGTGGGTGAGGAGAGGGTAGAAAAGGCAGTGGGCAGGTTGGGGGAACACCAGAGGGAGGCAGAAGGGGGCAGGAGGAGGAAGGGGCCTGGGTTCCAGAGGGAGGTCAAGACAGAGCGGGAGGTGAGCAGGAGTGTTGCCAGACACATGGCAGCCCCTGGCTCGTGCCCATCCCCACCACCCTGCACTGGCACGAGGCCCCAGATTTCCCTGGGACAGTACCACCTCTCCTCACTCCGTGGCTGATGTGGAGTGGACTCCGTCCTCTCGGGGCTGGGGCAGCTGCCAAGGAAGGA